TTCCAGTAATGATAGAGGTTTCCTTCCTAACCTTTTGTTTGAAATAGTGTGGAACATCAGCTTCTTGATTATATTATTAACACCTCTTCGAGTTAGATGTGTTATCTATTTTAGATTTTTAAAAGTCCTTGAATGATGCAGTTTCTGATATTTGGTACAGTTCTTTGTGATTCTCTAGCACCAGTCCACAAGGTCCAAAGAAGGATGAGCTTTCCCAAGACCCATAAGCTTCACCCACTCAAAGTCATTTTTAACCATTGATTTTAGAAAGTGGTTATATTCAGCTGACAGTTTAGTTATTTCTGAACATTTCTACTATAAAGACTCAAAATGGAGTGCAGGATGACAGTATGATGTCGTAAGTTCACAAATCTAGAAAAAGAATTTGTCTTTCTTTGACATCATTTGTCTTTCCACGTTTTTTCCAAGCATGGCATTCAAATGAAAATCTTCATCTGACTCGAGTTTTCAGGTTAATGTTTTGGTTTTGTAGCAAGTGGTGGTGTTAGGTGAAAGAACCTCTAGTACAGCCTATTGTATGTTCAATTTCCTTATCTCCAATACTGAATTTGTTATAACTGAAGTGTTTAGTATTTACTAATTCCATTTCCTGATTATTTTTTTTTTTTTGGTGAATCACTGCTTCCATTCCCAATTCCAGGTCATAGTTTCTGTTTTGGAAAGGTTTATCCTGAGTCCTATTTCTTGGAATACTTAATAGGGGATGTTGGTTTTCTGTTCAAGATCATTCATATCCTACATATGAATATCCATGTCATTAGCATAGCCTCCCTCGTCATCAGTACATTGACATCAAGAGGGAAAGCAGGATGATTGTCTTCTATTTGTAGATTCATTTCGGATGTGGTATAATCTTTGCAAATGTGCAGAGCAATGTCTAGGTAGATATTAAATAGACTGAGCTCTTATTTCCACTTTCTTATATTCCTGATGAGGTTTGAAATGTTTCTGTATTGAGATCCTCACCATGATCTTGTATGATTTTGTAAAGTGATAAAGTTCCTCTATTAAATCAATGCATTCATTGAATTTGGAGCCTGAAGAAGTCTCTATTAATGTGATCATATGTTGCTGTGAGGTCGACATAGCAGGTATACAATTTCCTCTTAGAGAGGTGAGCAATTTCCTGCAAAATGTTTGATGACATATATGCCATAATTACATCCCTCACCAGAATGAAAACCAAATTGGTATCATTAGGAGTTGACTTTCATAAAATGATGAGAGCTGAGTTAATATAATGCTCATTAAAATTTCACCATGCTGAATCCAATTGAGATACCTCTGTATGTGTGATGGTCTGGAGGGCTTCCTTTTTGTTTTCATACTGTATTAATGCACGATAGACCCCACTTTTTGAGGATGCATTTCTGATTCCAGACTTTCGTCATAAAATAAACTTGCTATTGAATTCAGGGAGAAAGTAAGGTATTTTTAAAAGTTCAGGCTCAATGTCAATTGATACTTTATTATTCCTTATTTTTTTTATAGCTTTTTTAATTTCCTCAGTAGTAGTTTCATGCTTAGAGATAGACTTTGTAATAATTGGATGAATATTGGTAGATGTTCTATTTCTGATGGCCTTTTTGTTTAGTGTGATCAGGGGTGAAATGTGATTCAAAGTGTTTTTTGAGACCAGGACATTTCTTCTGTGATAGTTTTGATTGTATGATTGGATTGTGATTTTTTGCTTTTCCCCACATTTTAACTCATTGTTTGTGTTGCTTGGCTTCATTAATTTTGTTTCCAATTTTCTGAAGATATTGGTTTCTCAAAGAATTAATTTTTTTTTTTTTAATTTTCCTTGTTTAGTATTTCTCCTTCCATTTTTTTCATTTTCTCTTCATTTCTTTCTTTCTTGTATCAAACATTTCAACTCAGGATTTTCATCCCATTGGTGTATCTTTTACCTTCTGGCTATTCTTGGAATGGTCTCATGTACTTCAGCTAATGATGATATGATACCATTAATGGATTCCTCTGTTTTCATCAAGTTTTACAGAAATCATTTTTGACTCGAGTTTATTCCTAAATTTTAAAGTTAATCTTTAATTTTAAATGGCTTGGATGTTATACCTTAAAGTTTTTCTTGTTTTTTTGTGGGTGGAAGCAATCTATTTTGTTGGCTGATGTTGTCAGTTTAGTTGTAAGTAATTTGTGATCAGATTCAAAGTAGATGTTGCATACTGTGAGAAACCACTTAATTTTTTTGCTTTTCTCCACATTTTAACAGATTTTAACAGATTGTGCTGCTTGGCTTCATTAATTTTGTTTCCAATTTTCTGAAGATATTGGTTTCTCAAAGAATTAACTTTTTAAAAAATCTTTGTTTATTGTTCAATGTTTTCCCTTCCACTTTTTTACCTCTACCATTTGTTTCTTTCTTGTATCAATTTTCAACTTAGTATTGTCATCCCATGGGTATATTTTTTCCTTCTAGATATTCTTGGAATGGTCTCACATATTTCAGCTAATGAAGATATGATAACATTATTTCATTCCTAATGAATGCTAGTAGGACTTCTAATTCTCTCAGAATTGCCTCATTGAATAATTCTGGAGAGAAGACACATTCTTGTCTTACACCCCTTTCTATTTTTGCATATTTACTGAATTCATTTTCTGTCTGTATTGGTTTGTTGCCAGTATATGTTCTGGATTATTCTAATATCCTTTCCAAATATATCAAGCTTACCTAAAAGTACAATCAGTTCTTTGCAATATACTTTATCAAGTGCCTTTGAAACATAAATCCTTTAATCTGATTTTTTTGCTGCCTGCTCATCCTTATCCGTCAACACAAAATAATATCCTAGCTTTTTCTTCTATCCTGACATACAAACTGCTTCTCTAACACAAATTTGTATATACATATATTAATAAGGGAAAAGTCTATGAATTACTATTTTAGGAAATGCTGGTAAAATAATTATATTTAATTTTGTGTATATATCATCAAAGAAAGTAATGAAGTAATGTGTTTTAGTTAATTGTTTTAAAACATTTCTACTAGAAAGACTCAAAATTGAGTGCAGGATGACAGTATGATTTCCCCAGTTCACAAATCAAAAAAAAAAAAAGAATTTGTTTTTCTTTGAGATCATTTGTCTTTCCACTTTTCAAACCTATGAATATATTTCTTTTGATTTCTATAATCAGCATCTTGTTTTTTCCTATTCATCTTATCAGTCATTTTTACATCATAGCTTCTTTCTATTTTTACCAACAACAAAGCTCTGTCTGTGGCTTTAGATACTTCAAAAGCATTTGATAGGATTTGCCATGATTGTCTTCTTCACAAGCTCAATGGCTATGGTGTCTCTGACCAAATTTTCAATTTGATCCAGTCTCTCTTAACAAATCATGTAATGAAAGTTGTGTTGAACATTAATACAAGTTCAAGTGTCTCCCAGGGCTCTATTCTTGGATCTACTTTGTTTCTTATCTCCATGCTTCCCCATGCTATCATTTTTTAATTCAGTATTTATGCTGATGATGCAACTATTTACACTTGCTTAATAGTAAGTTTAAACAGTTCAAAAAAAGTTTAAACTACAGGTGATTTCAAAGATGATCTTCAATCAGTTGTTAATTGGGACAAGATGTTAGACGGTGTCCTCAAGGCTGAATAAGAGACGCAAGGCAGCAGAAATGTGGTTCTACAGAAGGATGCTGAGGATATCATGGACCGAGCATGTGAGCAACAATGAGGTCTTGGAAAGAATGCAAACAAGGAAGCTTATGTTTAACATAAGGAAGAGGCAGGTGAAATTTCTGAGTCACCTGATGAAAAAGAAGGGCCTGGAGAATCTGAAACTCATGGGACAAAAAGAGGGAAAAAGAGACAGGGGAAAGCAGCACATGACATATGTGGCAGGCTTGGGCAGGTGGATGGTGGAGCATGATCTCAGAGAGTTTGCAGAAACACAAAACCTGTTGAGAGCCACAATGGATAGGGGGAAGTGGGGGGGCATGAACGCCTACATCCTGAAAAGACACAGCACATAAAAAGAAAAGATCATTTAGTCATCTTAGAGAAACATTTTTGCCTTCTCTCAACATGACTGATGCTAATCTCCTTCTTAGTCTTACATGAAGTAGAATGATTATATTGAATCAATTGCTAGGTCTGCTGCTAGGAAAGTTGGTTCACTGTGTTGTGCTAGACAGTTTTTCTTGCCAGAATCCATCTTGTCTGTTTATAAATTTACCATTTGCCAGTATATTGAATATTGCTGCTACATACAGTCTGATGTACCTCCTATATATATGTTAAGATTCTTTACAAAATTCAAAGAAGGATCTGTAATGTTAATGATCCTGACCTGGCATTGTGACTTTAGACATTTTCTCCATTACCATAACATAGCTTCCCTCTGCCTTTTCTCTAAATATTTTCATGACACTTCTTTACTCCTTGATAATTCAATCACATGAATTTAAGCATACTACTAGATTGGCAACATGTCTCATTGTTTTATAGTTGAAATAAGTGGATGTAATCTTAAGTTCTATTCTTATAGTTTTTTTTCCACACTTCTCATCTGTGGAATTTCTACTGATTCTCTTCTTGAATCCAGTTCATTTTGTCCCTACTCCTCGCTACCAGCTTTCTCATTTTCCTTCACTCTCAGTAATCTATTGTGTCTTAATAACACTATTGCCTTGCATGGAGTGAAAAAAATGTCTCTCTTCGTCTGTGATTGTGATATCTCCTGCTAGAATAACCAGAAAGTCTTCTTTTTTTATTTATTTATTATTTATTTTATTTTACTTTTTCCTATCTGATAAATGTGGGAATTTCAAACTTAAGATCTACTTTACTCTTCAAGGAAAACAACTAAAATGTTCTTATAACACAATAAAATTTTTATATAAAAACTATTCTCTTTTCTTTCTTTATCACTGCAATCTTTTTGACAAACTATTTTGTCTTCTTTTAGAAAAATACTTATTGATATTTAATCATCTATTTTGGTATGGCTGGATGTAGCATTGGTGATCATCTCTATCTATCTATCTATCTATCTATCTATCAAGACCTTATGCAACTGGAATTTACGAACAGGGATCATATCATTCATATACAGGTTCGGGGTTGATGTATCTTATTTATATTATTTGCGAAGATGTATTCTCGCCATTTAAATCATTAACCACTATATTTTTTTTTGTATGAATGATTCATGAATTTATAAATTATAATTTGTACCTTTAATTGAAATTAAAATAACTGATCCAACGTGCAACTTTCGGATAATAAGTGTGACATTACTGTAATTATTGAATGATATAGTTCATGCCACATAGACAGAAAATCTACCAGTAAAAAAGAATTCTCTTTTGTACAAAAACGCACAACCTTAAACTTTAAATTCAAGCTCAGCATTGCGACTGCACGTTCGAAAACAATAACACATTTCTCATAGCATTTTTTCAGATTACATCTCTATTTTTGTTGTCCTCTTATTACCGAGAAGTAAAAACAAGAACAAAATTTATTTCCATACCTGAGGATGTCTGTAGGAACAGGCGAAAGCTTGTAAGAATTAAAAGACCTTATGCAACTGGAATTTATGAACAGGGATCATATCATTCATATACAGGTTCGGGGTTGATGTATCTTATTTATATTGTTTGCGAAGATGTATTCTTGCCATTTAAATCATTAACCTCTATATTTGTTTTTTGTATGAATGATTCATGAATTTATATATATTTATATATATATATACACACACACACACACCAATAATCAATATAAATTTTTCATCACCATTTTTTATACAATTCTTGTATTTTGTTGAGAGTTATTATACAATATCATCTTAAAAGTTCTACTAAATGGTGAAAACAAAATGTATATTATTTATTATTAGTATAAATTTTAGTTCTGTTATTATATATTAAGCACTGTTTTATTGCCACCAACACTCACTGTGTGCCACTTTATATCTATCTATCTATCTATCTATCTAGATGCATGTTTCATTAAATAATATAGACATGTTTTGTCCCATTGTTCGCATCTTTGTCACCATATTTATCACAATGTTTCGGCCGTTTAACCGGGTATTGAACTCACACTCTTTAGGTCCTGCCACTGGATCTAACTAACACCTTTATCCACTGTTCCATGTGTCTCGGAACGGTCTATAATTTTCAAGTCAGGTCTATCTTGAAAGTGAGAGATAGAATATAAAAAAGTTCTAGAAACAGTGGATAAAGGCACTAGTTAGATCCAGTGACAGGACCTAATGAGTGTGAGTTCAATACCCGGTTAAGGTAGTGGAGAACTTTCAGAGGGGAATTAACAGGAGATAACTGACATCCATTAGACATGGCACGTGGAACTAGAACAATCTACGCCAGTGAACGAAATAAAGGGTTCAGTTTGACATTCCAACCACCTGAAGAAGGCCGGAGCATACAACAGCCGAAACATTGTGATAAACATGGCAACAAAGATGAGGACAATAGTCTAAATAATGTAAATTGTGTAATTAAATATCACTGTTCGCTATGGTGCTTAGACACTTTGAATTTAAGCACAATAGTAGATTAGTGATGAGGTCACATCAATTTATAGTTGAGCTGGCTAGATGTAACTGTAAATTCTATGCTCATAGCTTCTTTTCTTGCACTTCTCGCTTGTGGAACACTCTTCCAGTTCCATGCTTTCCAGCCAACTTTAATCTTCAAAAATATAAATTTAATATCAATTGCTGATTACTCTTCCTCTGTTCTTGTTCATTAGCAATGTTCCTGTTTCTAACTCTTCCACACCCAATAATCCCTTGTGTCTCAGTAGCTTTACTGCCTTGAATAGGGTTGATACTGATTAATATTATATATATATATATATATATATATACACTGAAGAATAAAACAACTATGTTGATGTGACCAACAGACAACATGCCAGATGACTAACACTTTAGATAAGAAAAAATCCCAAACAAGGAAAGAAAAAAAGAAAGAAATACCAAAAGCAAACACGTACGTACTCAGTAAAGTGCTTAACACACAGATTATCTATGTAGAAGTCAAATAACTTACCTTCTAACATGGCTGCCTCCTTATAAAATGGCAAGCCATCTAATCTACCTCATTTATAGGAGATTACCTAATACAGCAGGTGCGTTAGTCCACTTTACTATAATGGACCTGTCCAACACATTTGCATGAGTGGACTCTATACACTCATATATCTCTCCATTAAATCGCTCAGTGGGTATTTTTCATTTGGAATGACTACACCAGTCTACCTGCGTGTCAAACCACTTGCAATTAACCAATACTCAACAATCTAGACAAAGCAAAAAACGCTTCACATCATCAACATTAAACAAAGGACTGTATAATATAATCAGTCAGCTGTTGCTTTTTAAGTTTTATTAAAAAGGATAGACATTCTATGTCTGTTCAATTTATCTATCAACTTTTCTAAACTACAAATAAATTTCTACAAACCTGTAAATGCAAAAATATCCCAAATCCTGTCCGTAATGAAACTTTTAACTTTCCTCAGATAAGGATGAGAAAAAGTAAAGTGAAAACTGTCAATGCTTTAAGTAGCTCATATTTTTATTTATTATTTTTACACTCGGATTTGTTATTATGACATTTCAGCCATTGTGCTCTCCAGCCATCATCAGCAGCTTGCTGATCAGAGTAACCTGTTTTAATGAATATGAACTACCTTAGCAGTGGTTTGAACTTTGTTCTAGTTAACAATTCCCTCCTTCAACTGGCTTCTGTTCCTGTTATATTTTGTTAAAATAACTTTCAAGGAATTTCAAACTGAATTCTTTATTTTATCTACCAGTATATATTGTTCTCCTTTTGCTGCCCATATTTACAGATATCTCATCCTATTCTTATTTAATACTACTCCATTCTTACTTGCCCTGTTTCCACTATGTCTAACTCTGCACTGTCCAACTTAGGGACTAAACTCACAATTATAAAATAACCAAATTCACAAACCAATGATCCATCTCTTTTCCCCTTAGTTATAGCTTAAATAGTAGATCTTATAACTGGAATAATCATTCTTGGCTCTAAAAAATGTTAATGCAATATTCACTTTTTTATTTTAATGATTTCACCCCAAGCAAGGCAATAAAGCCACTAAGATGCAAGGGGTTACTGAGTGTGAGAGAATATAAGAAAAAAAAATGCTATTAAGGATAGAGAACAATAAAAGAAAAGGAATTAAGAAGATAGAAGATAACAATTAACATAGCATTTAAATTTTTTAAGGTAAAAGTTGACCAAAAAGCAAGAAGCCGGAAGAGAGTTCCACAAACATGAAGTGTGAGAGAAAAACTGTTAGCATAGAACTTATAAAAAAAGAATTATTCTTACAATCTTAATATGTTTTGGCTTTAAACCCATAAAAGCTTGATAAGCCATAAAAAACAAACCAGTCAATCATTAATCAATACTTTAATCTACTAGGCTGTTTTCTGTGATGCATTAATATAGATATATGTCTATATTTCCGAGATGAGGTATTATGTACACTATTTACATTATTTGGATTATTGTCCTCATCTTTGTTGCTATATTTATTACAATGTTTCAGCTATTGTACACTCTAGCCTTCTTCAGGTGGTTGGAATGTCAAACTTAACCCTTTATTTCGCTCACTGGGGTAGACTGTTCTAGTTCCACGTGCCATGTCTAATGGATGTCAGTTATCAGTTATCTCCTGTTAATTCCCCTCTCCAAGTTCTCCACTGTCTTAACCGGGTATTGAACTCAAACTCTTTGAGTCTTGTCACTGGATCTAACCAATGCCTTTATCCACTGTGCCTTGAGGACATCTGTGTATGAATTTCTGGGTATTATAAACCTAATGTCTCAACATCATTTTTTACCAGTGCTCATATTATAATTTTTTGCTGTTATCATACATGTTTTTACCAGAGCTCATATTGCAATTTTTGTTGTTATTATTGCTTTTCTCTGGCACAAGTAATAAGGAGTGCCAGAGAAAAGCGATAATAATAATGATAGTCTGAATAATGTAAATAGTGTACATAATACATCATCTCAGAAATATAGACAAATACTGAATTGATTTCCTAATGCTTTCTTTAAAAAAAAATTTATGAACACTATATATTTTAAAAATAAATAATTAAATAAATGAATAAGCACATGATGCTTATTCATTCAATCCCTTTGTATACATACTAAAAAGTTCCTTTTGAGTTCATATGAAGTTGGATGAAAAGTATGTATATTTCATTTAAACCCCCACCACCACCAGCAATAAATTTCCAGTACAACGGCTGAAATGTTGTAATAAATATGGCAACAAAGATGAGGACAATAGTCTGTATAATGTAAATATTGATTAATATAGATATTTGACATTATAATAATTTCATAATCTGTCCATCTGTCTACATTACTATCTTTCCATCTTAACCATTCAATATTTGTCAATTGTCAACTTCATAACATATAGAGAATAAACTTGTCTGAACAACTGTCATCTATATTATCTTTATAATCAGCTATGATTGCATTAAAATATCTTAAAGTGAGAAGAAAGGACTAAACATAAACTGCAAGGAAACAGAATGCATGGTTGTTAGCAAAAGGATAAGCCCAAAATGTGAATTGCAAATCAGGAATCACAAAAAAAAAGGACAGAATAAATATCTGGGAAGTGTTTTAACAGAGGACAGAAATTGTAATACTTAAATCCGAGAACATATTGGGATAGCCAAAGATGCATTCCAAAAGCTAAGCTGAGAAATAGAAAGATTTCACTAGAGACAAGGAAAAGGTTACTAAACTGCTATGTGATATCTGTCCTCCTGTATGGTAGTGAATGCTGGACAATCTCCTCAAAGATGAAGAAGAGATTGAAGCAACAGAAATGTGGTTCTACAGAAAGATGCTGAAGATACCATGGACTGAACATGTGAGCAACAATGAAGTTTTAGAGAAAATGGAAACAAAAAAACTCATACATCAGGAAGTGACAGTGGAGGTTTCTAGAGCACATGATAAGGAAAGGGGCAGGGATTTGATATTCACATGGGGGGGCATAGTAATGGCAAGAGGGACAGAGGAAAGCTGCAAATAACCTAAATAATGAGTAGGCTAAAACACACACACACACACACACACACATGTGTGTGTGTGTATAAATATTCAGATATATTAAAATGTTTTCCTTTTGTATGAATAAGTACAAAAGGAAAAAACTTTTCGTCTTTTCATATTGACTTTTTACAAATATATTAGAGATATATATATATCAGAATATTATATGCCCCACACATATCTCTCTCTATATATATATATATATATATATATATATATATATATATATATAATATATATAATATATAAAAAAAAAATATATAAAAATACACATCACAACCAAAAACGTTTGTGGTTTCTCGTTTATCTTTAAAATATAGACTTTTCTCTACTTGGAACATCTATAATCTCTCTCTTGAATGGTATAGCTGGTCTGTGTCAATTTCAGGATTCACATTATATATATATATATATATATATATATAGTGAAAGAGGAGAGGGAACAAAGTTTTTTTTATTCCCATTAATTTATAGCATCATTAATCATTCATCCAAATATTTTCCTTGGGTTTTCTCTTTTGCCAATTTTTAAGTAAATTGTATCCGCCATTATAAAAGAATGATTTTGGTTTTGATTCAATGAATTCTTGCAGAAATCCTTTGATATCTTGAACTTGTAAGAACTGTGAATCAGACAAAGTGTGTAACAATGTGTGAAAAATGTAATAAAGCTGACAAGTTTGATGAAGATGGCATCTCACCTATATGATCATTTGCTATGTCAAATTTGTAGCATCACAATGGCTATTGTTAGGCATTAAAATCACGGGAGGGTTTTCTGGCTCAGAAATAAACCTGTGCTCTGTCAATGCATCATTCAAATGAGTCAGTTGCTCTCTGTATTGTCATATAATAAC